CCAAGAGGAAGTCAATAGTATCTGGATGCTGATCGACAAGCTCCTCACCCTCAAACTAGCAGAGAGAAGAAGAAAGAGAAGAGATAAATGGATCTCAGTGAGGATTAGTAGAAGATCTGATACAAAAATGTGAACATCTTTGCATGAGCCTCTTTCTGACAACTGTACCTCTGCCACAGGGATAGTGACTGGCTCTGTCTCTCTCAGAGTAATGGTGTCAGGAGATGCAGTTATCCCTGGGGGACAAAATATGGACGACATTAATAAGAGAAGCCACTATTTCAACGAGCCACTGAAACCAGCAGGAGAGGATGCAAGTAATCAAGCTGCAATTAAAGTGTTCTCTTCTGCCGAGAAAAATCCGGCTGCACAAACACTTTCTGACACCGCGGCATCAGCCTCAGCCAATTAGGAGGATGCTGTTGAAGGCAGTCTTCCCTGACCTGACCTACAGTATCTTTCTGCTGTATGATCTTCAGTAGTCCTGCCTCGATCTGCACAATCTGAGCTCTGTCTACATTCCTGTGACCTGTTGGTATTTCTGCGCATATCACTGCACATAAACTGACATACTGTACATTTCTGGACCCGTTTGAATACGTCTTTCTGTAAAGCTGACATTTAATTAAAGCTCACATAATTAGGACAGGCTTTGTGTATCGTATTGTTTTCTGGCATGTAGATTCGTCAAATACCATTTCAAACAACTATAAATATAATGGAAAAAATGGGAAAAGCTCTACTCAAGTAGATCTTGAGTTGGTATTATTTTGTCAATTTTGTAAATATTTTTAATAGTATTAATAGTATACCAAGTGCTTTTCACACAGTCATGGTCCTCATATAAAAACTGAAACAGGTTTTGGTTGCTGTTATCATTCCTGTTGATACTGGACATTAAAAGGTCGTTTCTTAATGTGCCTCCGATTTGAATATATTCAAGAGTCCAAACTCACAGCCTATTTACTACACAATTCCCTATTTTTATTACTATCTACACCCTGCCGCTTAACAGGGAAACACTGTCTGTGAATGTTATACTACAAAGGCTGTAACCCTGGAGGATATGCACCTGATTTATCAGACTGCTGAAGTCTATTATTAGCGTCAGATAAACTTTTGAATACATTTTGAGAACGAGAACTCTGGATTTTATCTCCCTTCACTGAAAGTGCATTATGGGTCCTTTAATGACCAGAATGAAGAAGAGGAATTATTACAGCAAGAAAAACTGTTTCAATATTTATATTTGCACTTGACTATTGTCTTAAAACAGACTTAAAACTTTTCTTTTAATCATACTACACCACGGTCAAAAGTCTGTTGATCACACCTTTCTGTAATCGACTCATCAGCTCCATCCACTCAGCACTAGATTGTTTTTCAGCCTCAGAGGGAGCAATTCTCAGATCATGTATGTTTCGTGCTTCAAGATCCTGGTCTGCGTGCCAGCAGCCGGCTCTCTTTCACTCCCTCTGTTGGCCGTACTGCCTCCTGTTCCATCCCATCTTCATTATTACTGAATAAATCTGTTAAACTTTATCTGCCTCCTTGTCTGTGTCCTGTGTCTGGGTCCAATATTAAACTGAAGCGTAACACTAGTGTGTGATTTTAACGTCGCCTTTCTGATAAAAATCTATCATGACCTCATCAGGGTTATCTTTAGCCACAAAAAACCTTATACAAACCTCTGTTATGAGTAAAGTGATTATGTTGAATGACACTGTTGCCATGCCAGTTTAATGATCAGCTTGATGTGCATTTTTCTTTCCTTTTTAAAATCTTCCAATTAGTCTTGTGTATAGTGCTATCAGTTGGTTTAAGCCCTCATTAAGGAATAATAATAATCTATAAACAGGTTTAATTGTTTGTTTTCTGTAAGAGGCATTTATTACATTTTTAATTTTCTTAAGAGTCATTTCTGTTATTTTTCTTCTACAGTAGATTCTATTTTTTCTGCTGCAATGCCCCAATGCCCTGCAGAGATCATTATTTTCATGTCATTACAGCATGTCGAGTCATCCTACCGCTTTCTAGTGCAGCAGCAGCAGCAGCAGCAGCAGCAGCAGCAGCTGGGCTGGTCGGTTCAGGACGCTCAGGAGAGGTTTCTCTCAGATACTCTTGACCCATCTGAGGGACACAGAACAGGCAGAGGACACTTATCCTCGAAGTACAAACATTTAGAGGATTTTCAGGTTCACCTTCAGCTTACAAATGTCTGCTAAGCTCTGGTGTATTAAGACAAGTAGTCATGTAGTCATGTAGTCATGTACTGTACTAAAGCACAAACTTGTAGTACTTTCTGCTTCTACTCCATTACATTTCGGAGGGAAATAATGTACTTTTTACTCCACTGAATGTTTCTGATTGATTTAGTTCATTTACAGATTAAGATTTTTAGACACAAATCATATGAAGAGTTATAAAATATGCTTTGTTAGAAGTTAAACTGCTCAATTAGTCGATTAATCAATTAGTTGATGGACAGAAAATTAACTATTTTGATAACTGACTGTTTTTCACACAAAGACGTTTCATGGTTCCAGCCATGAGGATTTGCTGCTTTTCCTTTTAATTATCTTTAGTGTTATTGTAATAACTACAACAGTAGAATCCTGATTTTACATACACATAATGCATAATAATAAAAATAAATTATATAATAATGCATATAAAGATATAATAGAATAACAACATTTTTCTGCATTGAGTAATTTTACTTTTAGTACTCTAAGTACATTTTCCTAATTATACTTAAATACTTCATCAGAGAATTGGAATACTTCCTCCTGCACTGCTGACTTGTGTCTTGGGGTACCTGTATCAGTGTACTGGGACTGGGCATGGTATCCTTCATGTACATCATTCCGAATAAAGGGTCAGGAGCTCCTTCTGTCTCCTCCAGGAGAGCCAGGGCGTCCGGGAAGTCCAGAGCTTGTCTGAGAGAAACCAGGAGGCCCACAAGCAACAAACAGGAGTTATTTTGTGTTTGTAAATGCAGATAAAACATGTGAAATGTTGAGCAGCTGTTCTGACCTGCTGTGGTCATCCATATCAATTTTCTGGGACGATTTCTGTTTCAGGAGCTGACCCACAACGGTCTGAAGTTCCTCTGGAAGGAGACAAGATCAAGGTCAACAACCGGTGTCTCTTTCCTTCAGTCTGTTAATGAGCCATTTATGAACTTCCTTACCCAGGAGAATAGCACATTGTCGGTGGTAGACGAGGATGACGCCGTACTGGAGCTGGGAGGAGAGGTAGAGGGAGAAGCGAGGTCGTGGCAGACCAGGTCGAGGTGGTGGGACCTGCTCCAGCACGTAGTCCATGATGTCATCACTGTGTGGGCATTAGCTTTATTACAACTGAACAGATTCAGCCACAGTTCAGCCTGACGATAAATATGTGACAATGGCTGAAATAAGTTCTCACCAGGTGCTTTTGACGTTGACTTTTAGGAAATCGCGGCGAGGAACTCTGATGCCTTTTGTAGCAACCAGCCTGAAATGGACACAGAGTATTAATACAATGACTCAATTGTAGAGAAACAAAAGATTACAAAACACATCTTTGGCCATAACTTAACAATTCACGACAATATTTCACAATTAGTCAGACAGTGAATTAGTGTATTAGTAAGCCAAAAAACATATCATTCCTTCAAAGTCTGGACAGACATGGATATTAAATTATTATATTTCCGCTGTAAACCTTGGTCAGTCTTAATGTGAATAAAGCACATTTTAATTGAAAAAAAAAAAACACTTTCTTAAAGCCTTTCCTTTGCTCTTTTTGCCATAATGTATGTATATATATATTATATATATAACCTTTGACCTCATCTTCAAAGTCTTTTGTAAAGAGGACTTCAAAGGCTTAGACTAGTTGTTTTGGCTACAGTGTGTATGTTATAGATATTTGTTATCTTTGCCTCTGAAGCACCTGCAGTCCGGGCTGTGTGCAGTTTATATGGTGGACAATCCGGAGTCTAAGTTTATCTATTAAAGATATTAAAGACTCACAAAAGAAGAAATAGTGCGTCAGTTGGACTTTTCACTATGGAAATCTTTACAATAATGCTGATACCTTTAAACCTCCTTAAACCTTATTAACTTCAGTCAATCTTCACATTAATTATTAAGGTGTTTGTCCACTTAATTGTTAAGCAGTTTAAATGTCCTGTCCCCTGAGAATAAAGGTTTGGGCATAAAATTCAATTTCAGTGAGCTTGAGTTTATATTCAAGGTATTTGTACCTATTAAGCGACAATGGAGGCATTTAGGAAGATTTTTGATGGTTTAACGTCCACTTAACAAAACCAGCAGAGTTGAAGTTTAGACTCTAAATGTAAGTCTAAATTAATAATAATAATAATAATAATAATTAATAATCTAACACAGCAGTTTCATAGATTCCCCGTTAATAATGGGCTAATAATACAGTTCATATACCACTTTAAAGTCATTTCACTGTACATATAGTTGGATTTAAAACAGTTTTACTCACCAGATTGTAGAAAAACATCCTGTATGACGCTTTAAAACTGCCGGGTAGAAAAACATTTCCGAAAATCTTTCAGAAAATCAATAAAATGGCTGATAAAGGCCGATAACTTACAGATATTAGTCCACACCAGAGCTGATTTTCTTCAGTGTGTGTGGTGGGAGATGAATGTCGGTTTATTTATTGTTGTTTGAGACAAGCTGATTGGTCTGTCCCACTGAAAGCAGCTGTAAATAAAGTGTGGTCTTTGTCCCATTAGTTACATGTTAAAATCTACCACATGTAACAATGATCCCACACTTTCAAAATAAGAGCTCTGACAAATAATAAAAAGTAACTGCAGATGTTTAAGTTCAATCAAACATCTTATGATACAAAACGCTAAATATTTCATTAATACTGTAGGGTTTTTTTTATGCATTTGGGAAAGTAACTTCTTTCCCATAATAATTTAACAGTTTCACCTTGTGTTTATGGTGTTTTCACAAAAGAGCAGGAGCTTTGATTCATTAAAGAAAATTACATTTTATTCAAGTGTAAAGAATTGTGATGGATAAAATGAGGAACACACAGTCATATAAAATAAAAGCAACAAAACAGCAGTAATAAACATATTCAACTTAAAAAAAACAAAAACACAAAATTACAGTGTTGTAAGAGCTACTCTAAGTTTCCTATAAATACAGCACAGGGAGTGAAGTCCAGGCTGGTTGCAGCAGATCACAACAGTCTTCCTCTGCACTCAGTGGATCCGCAGCAGCAGAGCAGCACCTTCCCCTCCACACTGCCCACCTCATAGTTGTAGTCCCAGGTCAGCTCTGTACCAGCCCGGATCCGCCTGCACGAGAACAGGACAAGAGTTCATCAATACGTTAACGTAAAGCTAATATAGTGCACTGATTACTACATTAATTCTTCCCCTGAAAACAGCTCAACGGCAGTGCAGCTCCCCTCACTGGTTACTGTGATCACTGTTGTCAGCTCAGCTTTAATCATCTTGATTAAAAGAAGCTCACCGACAGACTGTGAAAGCCACAGAGACAAAGCTGATGAGCTGTCAACCCTAAAAATAGTGCTTATTTAGACCTAGTTTTGAATTTAACTAAACTTCACAGCATTATAAACAGTGAAACGTACACTTACCTTGGAAATAACGTGAACTACATAGTCGGTGGCTAAAAATCTTTTAACTAAACTGAATGAAACAATTAACAAACACCTATTTTTTATATAAAACAGTAGAGAATAAAACATTTCTACACAACCCAGTAGTGAGCCTGAGGATAACATAGCAGTGCTGTGTTCCTCAAGGCTGCGTTCAGACAGAACTGCATGAAAAATATATACACACAGCTCCCTCATTCAATTCAGTGAGGGCGCTGCGTCTGATAAGTAAAACAGAAAAGGGCAATACAACGTGATCTGGCACTTGTAACGGCCAAACTTTATAAAAGCACATTCCTGGTAAATTACTTTGTAACTTAATAGGACCAATGTGTAGGATTTAGAGGCATCGAGTGGTGAGGCTGCAGATCAAAAATCTCTCCCATTCCAAGCTGATTTCTTTGGGTGCAGCTGGAACAAGTTGAGAAAAGGACATATAGCTGATATAGCAAACTTTTAAATATGAACACATCCAGCAGTTATGGAGCAACATTATCCTTCATCTGAAGTCATGTTCCTGATCACCTGACAGCCTGACAATATTCACTGCTCACAACTCCTGAGGGAAATATCTGTAGCTGCTAAATGCTTCACTATATTCACCAGCTAGTTGCTAACAGTGTTTGCCATGTGGTTCTGGGCAGGTAGTGTACTGTGGGTTTTTTACGTCTTTTTTTCTGAAAACAGCTAAACAGTAGTTCTTTGTGTCCACACAGCGAAACAATGAGCTGAGACTCACTATAAAGCTCCGTAAAGCTGGGGGGAGCTGCAGATTCAGGTGATAATTGTCTGCAGGTTCATGAGTTCTTCCACATTTGTCATTTAATACTTTCTTATTATAAAAATATCAATTACAGCTGCCTTAAACATCTTTTCTGGATCATACTTCCTTGTCTCACCGATACCTCCAACAACAAGCGCGCCCCCACCATCGCAACTCTTTGCCTGTTGTTCTGGTCCGAACACCCATTTTAACACTTCTGAGATTGTTAAAAGCTCAAAGCCAACATAACACGATCTGTGGCTTAAAATTTGTTTCAAAACTCACTTGCTGGCAAAGAACGCCACCCAGGGAAACCGCAAGTCGTGTGTGTCCACAAACACATTCTGGACGAAAAGGTTTGGACTACAGCTGTGCTGTAATACAGAGAGGACACAATCAAAGATAAATACATAGAAACAGAATTAATACATAGAAACAGAATTTATTTAAGTGGCATCAAATGGTTACACACTAAGATCCTGTAGATTACACACTTACATTGAGGTAACGTCCAAGGTTTCCTTCCAACTTGGCATCAATGATGTAGCAGGACTCTTCACCATCAAAGAACAGACGGGTGTTTTTGGGAGTGTTCTCCCCACCTCCTCCAGTCTGTCCCTGCTGTCCTGTCTTTCCTCCCTGACCTCCCGGCCCTCCACCTCCTCCGGGAGGACCTGTTTTTACCATCATCCCGTGGCCGGACTTCAGGGCGATGCCTCTAGTAGATTTGACTGCTACCTGCTTCTTAGTCACACCTGAGGCACAAACAGCAGTAACAGGAACAAGCACAAAAGAAAATAATGAAAAATGAAAACAGTCAAAACCCCATAAAGACCACGATCAATGTGATGTTAATTCAAGTCTCTCTTCTCCTAACCCGGTGTGACTTTCTCTTTCTCCTTGTTGTCGTCAGATCCAGAGCTGATGGTCTGAACATCATCACTGTCAGAGAGAGTCATCACATCTTGCTTCTTCCCCGTTTCTGACTTCACTTGACTGCAAGAAAAACAAACTGAATCTGAATGGCAATCTAACTTTACGAGATTTTACTGATCACAGAGCTGCAGAATTGTTGTTAATTGAAATATGTTTGAAATCAGGAAAAACTCAATATCGATCTAAGCACACTTTAGAAAGTCCAACACACCTCTTGCTGTCTCCAGATTCCTGTGATGACAGGAAAGGAACAGAAAAGGAAGCGTCATCAATCATTATGCAAGAAAATCATAATGCAGAATCTCCTAAAATAAGAGCCACATTTTTACTATTGATTCTCTAACAAAAGATAATACATCCAAGAAGAGACTTCTTATGAGCAGTAAGGTTGTGTTTTTATTTCTATGTGTGAGACACCGCAGTTATTTTAAAAAGGTTGAGCACACAGAGCTCAGTTCCATGAAACATTATTTTTACTTTATCTCCGCTGTACTCACCTTCTTTAGCCCCTGGCTGGTAAGCCAGGAAGCCACTTTGCTTTTCCCCGTTTCCTCTGGCATGGACGGTGGCTTCTCATCATCTGTTCCTTTGGCTGACGCACTCAATCCATCTTTACTGTCTTGACTCCCTGGAGCAGGAAGGAGAGAGGTGTGTGAAAAGACAAAACAGAAATCTTGCACTCACTGGACTCACAAAACCCCAACTAACCCTTCAAAGTTTCCAAATTTGACAGATTTTTCGATTAGGGATGCAAATAACAATTATTGTCATTATGAATCAATCTATAAATTGTTGTTGTAACTGATGAGCCATTTCATCCACAAAATGTCAAACACACTGGAGAAGACCAACTACAAGTGCAAAAAGTCTCAAGTAATGTTTTATAATTTCTTATTTTTTCTTACTGAAAAATTAAGTTTATTAGTATTTATTTATACAAGTTTTAGCCAGCAAAGGTTTTTTTAATTCTAAAAGATTTAAATGTTTAATCATTCAGCAGAACTGTTGTCCTTAATATTCCGTTGGAAGAGATCTTTTCATCACTACTGCTCAGCTACTGCCTTGATTTAATTTAACATCTTACACCAACAGTGGGGTCAGATAAGGCTACACATTTAACACACATATACACAACCAGGCAATTTCACACCAAGACCCCAACAAAGTCTAATGTGTGCACGACATTTATTCAAAGCAATCATTCAACATTTTTGGAAATATGTAGTAGAAAAGATCTCAACACCACTATATCTGCACTGTACATATGGAGCTAGAGGCTCTGTACAGAAAAGTTGTGGTTTTACGGAGGGGTTGTTTGCTGGACCGTTTCATTACCTTACAGGCGAGATGAGAGTGGTATTCATAATTTAACTCTTGAATAAGAAACTATTCTTTCATAAAAACTGAACACTAGCAGTGTCTTCCTCTGAGACACACCTCCTAAAGGTGCCACCTGCTCACCTTCCTTGTTGCCCTTGACCTGACCACGTGTGGTGTAACTCCTCCACACAGAGCTGGAGGTGTAGTAGTTCTCCTTCACAAACGTGTCGTCCGAGCTGTCACTCTCGTCTTCACTCTTCGAATCCTTGTCATCGTCGTCATTGCTGTCCCCCGATGAGCTTGGGCTTCGGGCTGTGGCAGGAAGAAAAAACAAAAAGCATGTGAAACATCATGTAGAGAATCGAGGAAGATAAAATGTCAGCTCGGGTCAAGAGCGCAAACACTGCCACCAGGTCCTATTGGAGTCTAGCTTTAACTCTCACCTTTGGATTTGGACTCACCCTTCTTGGGCGGTCGCCCCACAGGGTTAGTTGATACTAAAGCAGATGGTTGGATTTTTATCTTCGACACATCCACACCGCTCCCCTCGCTGTCCGAGCAGTGAGCCTCGCTCTCATAGCCCTCCTTGAAGTTCTCCACACTCTCTATATGGTCCAGATTAGCAAAATACTCGTCGCCCATCTCCAGACCTTCTTTATCGGCAAAGTCGTCTGTCAAGATTTTACCTGGTGAAGTGGAACAAAAAGGGGTAAAAGGAGAAGGGATCAAGTCATCATCGTTGTTGTACTATTATGAATAAAATTGAAGACTGATTTCCATCACCTCTGTCTTTAAGAAACCATTCTTATAAGTCTGTTCTGTTTCCTCACCAGCATAAATGCAGACAAAAGAGCCTTTGGCCACATCATCCAGACAGCGGATGCCCCAGCCTTTGTTCTGAGTCTTGAAGAGCTGGAGACGCACCTGCAGGCCATGCTGCACCAACCGGTTGGTGCACATCTGAGAACAGCATTTGCACCGCTTATTACACTCGTAGATCCTGAGAGAGGGAGCAGGGGAGACAACCAAATTAGCTGTAATACTTAACAGTAATTATCTTCTTATGAGGTTATGAGGGGTGAGAGTGAGTTGTGTTTCTGCAGAGTACACCACAAGTGGGAGATGCACAATGTCTGACCCTGTCGGGAGGCACTCCTCTAATCGTTTGTGCAAATATCCAGCATTTGGGTTGATCTGTGCCCCGGGCGTACAACCTGTGGCCTGAAGGGTCAGCTGGTGGCAAGAGCATTTGGACCTGTAATAAGGACACAAAGACGTTCTCAGAATATTAACATTGGATGAAACATAAATAATTGGTGGGTCATGGGTGAGCAACTTCACTGACTTGTCTCGACAGCCATCAGTGCATTCACACCCAACCAGGAAGTCTGCACTGGTGTTGATGTATACTCCATCTTCGGGAATACGTTCTTTACCTTGAAGAAAGGAGAGGAAGATCAATAATTTATTCACAGGGATGTAATTCACAATTAGATACAAATCAAGATATGATATATCATATGATATGATTTTCTCCCGATTTTCTTTAACTAAAAAACAAACCTAGGAAGCATATTTTCCCTTTATCTCTCCAGTAGGTTACAAACTGTGCAAAAACGATTCATGTTTCCTTCTCTTTGTAAAAATGAAACAGAAGTTGCCTCAATACCACGACTGATATTCATTTTTCCATCTCATCGATTTGAATGTTCACATATTTGCATCGCGATATATCTTTACATTCACTTTTTCCACAGGGATTGTTCAGAGAAGGTAGGGTCAACAACAGGCAGCTGCATGGACACTTTTTGCACATAACACGGAGCAGGAGGCAAAAGGCAAAAATAGCTCTCTGAAAACTAAAAGCAAGATAAACAACATAAATTAAGTGAATAAAAACTTGAAAAACTAGGAGATCAAATAGAAATGTTTTTTCATTCATGCTATTCAACGAGATTCCTTGTAACCATTTAAAATGTGTCCCCTGCTGTGACGAATGTCTTTGTCAGCTGGAAGTTGTCACATGTACAAACGCCATGTTTCCATCTACCCACTAACAAATGCCACAAGACTTCACAATATGAGCCCAATACTGGCCCAGCCTGACAGATTTGGGGATGGTCGGGATGATAAAAGTCTGCCAAGTCACAGTATAAACAATAAAGACTACTCTACCAGTTTAGCATTGCAGTCCTGCAGCACAGTCGCACACACAATGGAGATTTTACAAAAAAGGATAAAAAACGGTGCAGTATAACTGGAGATTACGTCTTTTTTTATTCCACGCATTCTTCTTCACTGTCAAAACTCGGTGCCTACATTATCCACAATGCAACTCAATCACTGACAGTGACATCTGATACCGTGATCATGTTGAAAAACAGAAAATATTGTGCAGTCTGATCCCAGCACAAGCCCAAATAAATCTATCCCGTTACCATCTCAGTGTATTCCTTACTGTAAGCTACATCAGGGGGCGGGGTGGAATCAATCTCATTGACGCAGGAGAGCGGGATGTCCTCCTTCCCACCAGTGATGTCAGGAATATAATAGATCGGCCTCTGTGGCTGGAAAGGCCGGTCCACGAGCACATAGGGGTCTAGACAGAACATCTCTAAGAATATAAAGTCACAGCGTGTCTGGAAGAGGTAGTGCTGGATCTCTGCCATGTTACGCAAGCAAAGCCCACACGGGGCCTTGTAGATCACGTGGAAGGACATCTGAGGGGGTGGACAAGTAGAAGACAAGTGTTGTACAAATTCAGTTCAACTGCAAAGCATCTTTTTATATTTCAAGGTTAGGGAGAAAGTAGTTTAGTGCTTCTTATCCACTTCTCAATTCACCTGCCGTTCCTTCAAATTTACCTTGCGGTTGACTTTGCGTCGTCCTGTCATGCGTCTGAAATCGTACAGTAAAGGTGTGAGGAGGGGGTTCTTTCCTCGGTGCGTGTCTGGTTTTGCAGGTCGGACGCGATTCAGACATGCGGGCTGACAAGTGTGCGTCAGGTAGAAGATGCGGTCTGTTGGAGCTCGGTATGCGGGCTGAGGTGGGATTGTGGTCAACGCGTGGGTGATAGGAGGAGGGGCAGGAGCAAGAGTGGGCAGCTGTCTCTGATACGTCTGAGTGAAAGTGGGCGTAACAGTGGTTTGGGCAGTCAACATTCTCACACTATGGTTTGACAAATGAAAAACAAAGAGAAAAAGATCAGTTACATTTAAATTAAATCACTTTTAACAGCATTTTTCTTTTCTTTTTAACTGTGTCACAACTTATTAGACCAAACAATCAGGTGGACTCACCCAGGGAGGTTGCTGGGACTGGAGGAAAGAGACTGCATGACTTTAGAGGCATGAGTGCCTCCTACCCCGGGGACAAACGGAGAAGTACTCTTCTTTGCCATCTGATGTTTATTGCTTGAAGACAGAGAGGAGAGAATTAAACAGTCAGTCAGCATTAAAAGTCACCACTTCCTCTTAAATAATCTAGGTTTAAAACGCCACTAATCTAATATATAACTAATATTTTTCATGAACAAAGCATCAAACTAATGTGTAATGTGAAAGCTGCTGATGGTTTTTGATTTCCATCAGGAGTTGGTGGAGCTGAAAGAGCTAAATAAAAAAAGTGAATATTGTGCTTAAAATCATCAGGTCACCAAGAAACAGATGAATTTAAGAACAACAGTTTGCCTTATTAATTCTATGAAGTGATAATATGTCAGTGTTGTGTTTTTAGTTTGTTGTGTTGCCCCCAAATGGCCAAAAACACCAGGTTGAAAAGCAGTGTTTTGCTGATCTCTCTGGCGGGAAATTTAAAATGTGCTTCACCGCTAACCGCAGCCAGCATGAGGGTGGTTAGGTGAGATCAGAAGTTTCATTTGTTGCACCTGTAAACCACATGTCACACTTCTACTGCAGCAAGGTGAGTGGTTGAACCACTGGGGGTTCGCAAAAACAACATTTTCAGAGGGTGTTAAGTTAACACTTAAATGAAAAAGTCAGATGAATTACCACTTTCTTTCAACACAGCCGGCAGCAAAAACAAAAACATGAATTAAATATTTTTCTCCCAGTCTTGCCAGGGTTTGTTTTGGTCACAGTTTAGATTTATAATGTCTGTATAAGACTGAGGATGAAGCTCTAACCGGGTCATAAGCTGATATTAGTCATTTGTTTGCATGCTGCTGAGTATACATATATATGTGTATATTGTACCCAGTGGTACTTATGTTATTCTCCACCTCATTTTAAGGGTTTAATCACACACTGCTTTAATCTGCTCACCTTGCTTTTCCTTCTCTTTTCTCCTCACACACACATTGTCTCTCTCTCTCCACCTGTCTCTCCACCTGTCTTGCCCCACCTCTTTCTGTTCCTCTCTGGCTCATATAGAGACAACAATATGTTTTCATAAAGTCGATCAAAAAACACAAAAGTCGCGTTTTGGATTATTAATATTAATATTATTATTATTTTGGATTTTCATCGACGATTCCGTTGCCATGACAACGGGCACCATAGCGAACACCGAAACCGTTGCAGTCGGGAATGACAGCGGCACCAAGCTGAGGGCTGAAACCGGCTCAGATTTAACCCGGGTTATCAAGGAGAGTCCGGGTTAACAAACCCTGATACACTGCTGTTAAACGGTACAACGGCGGGGATTTAACATGTGAGTTAGTTGAGTCGGTGTCAGCTTAATCTGAGGCGGTTCCCACTTTAATTATATAATAATGGTAATAATCGTTGCTCCGTGTTTGTCCCTAGAGTAATCGATAATGATATCAGGATATGAGGAGAAAGGTTAACGGACTAATCTCACCACAGCAGGAGCCAACAAAGACAGGGAGTACATTCATAAGTTACATTACAGTGGCCATGTTGTAGCCTCTCTATTTACCTCTTACCGACCTTTATTTATAATATGATTAAATACGACAGGTTAAATTTAAAGATTAAAGTGGTAAATTAACGAGAAAAACATCTCTCGTTAAAATAAATGTACCCGTTAATGAATTAATGTGTACGATACATTTATTGCTCTATGAGTGAAATCAGACATGGTGTCTGAGTACTTTAAACCCTGAATTAAGATCTGTTGATGTTAGAGTAATTTATAACTCTAGCTGCACCCCAGTGGAAAGCCACCTGGCAAAGAGTCAGGATGAAAACTAATAAATACATAATTAAATAAATAAATGCTAGCCTACATATCAGATCAAATAGATATGATATGATGAAATACCTGAACACTGATGCTATGAAATGACTTTCTATTGATATAATCTTCCTCATGTTCTTCCAGAGGCCCTCTTATGGGGACAGTCAGCCACAACAATCACCCTCTGGATTCCTATGGGAAAAGTGTTCTGTATATAGGCCTAGCCTTTTTATTTTGTGAATTACCTGCAATCACATAAAAAGCTTCTGTGATTTAAAGGATTAAATGGGAACATAAAGGCATTGTGGTCCTAGAAGCTGGCATATATACTGAATTCCCTCAAATGAGAATGTATATCTTTTATAGATAACATCATCAGGGTACGTCAGAGAGTTGACTGTCTCCAAACAACCTCGCCCTCCGCAGTGAGCCTCTCACAATCCGTGAAATGTCGACTGTGTCTTTCAAATGTGGTGGTTTCTTTTCCTCACAGATTGTGGGCAGAGAAGAGAGAGGTGGTTCACAGGGTAACATCAGGTTAACCACTAAGATAACTTGCTCAGAGCAGTTTACACATGGAGCATAAACTGTCATGACAACACACCTCTGGGTAAAACGTATCCACATTTTGTAGTTCTAATTACACATCAGAACTTCTGTATTTGTTTTAAACACGTTGTAAAAAGTAATTTAGCCCGTTGCACCACAATCAGTAAACGTCACTTACTCAACACGCAGAGGCTGAGGGGTTTGTTGTGGCTGTGGAGGGGGAGGACGTTGTTGAAGTTGTGGTGTCTGTGAAGGCTGGCTGGGTGAGGATTGCGGTGTCTTGACAGGAGAGGCTCCAACATGTCCATCGCTGGTGTACTGAACTACTGGGCCTTTACTTCTCAACGCCCCTGGAGAGTGAAATGGACAGTGATTAGGGTTTTTGACACCAGTGCAAAGCTGAAAACAAATCTCTTCCACGGGACATAAATTAGGTACAAATAAAAGGTGTGAGTGGGTATGGTACCCATGTTAGGTCGCGTCCTCTGCTGGCCAGCCAACTTCTTCTCCTGGGTGTTGGCGGTGGTCATCTTCAGGTTGAACATTGGCTCCAACCTGGTGGATCCTCTATAGATCCACTCGCTCCTTTTATCATCCTGATCAACATAAAACGAATCAATAACTTTACTCTCTGTCAACTGCTGCACTGTCAAACTATTAAACAACACATTTATGTAAATTAATGTGGATGTTGTTGGCAGTGAACAGCTGTCTAACTACAGTTGTTTTATTACTTAAGCCGACGTACCAAAAAGAGGATCTTGACCAAGCTTCCATCCACCTCCTCCACTTTGCTCTTCCACCAGGTTCCCTCCCACTCTGTCTTGATGATCTGTCCGACCTTTAGGAGCACCATAGGCCTGCTGGGATACGCGGTGATGTACTCCTCAATGAAGTCGCGGCATGATGCATCCTCTATGTCCTCCCAGGTACACTTTACTGTGAAAACAAGAATAACCTCACTCTTTTATTGGTTCCTCTTTTTTGATAGAGTTTGATTGTGTGATTGATTTTATAGAGTACTACTAACATTCAAACAGATTATTAGTAGAGATTCAACTGTTCCATTAATAAAGGTTTGGTTAGGTTTAGGCACAAAAAACATCTTGGTTAGGATATATTCATTAATTTTACATATACTCTACAAACATTTTTTGGGCTGGACAGATTACAAGAACAGAAAGGGAAAAAAGAAAAATGGGCACGTACATGGTCGGCAAATTGGGTAGAGTTCAGGTAGTGTCACATATGAAGCATAGCCATCATCGAAGAAGATCAGAAACCTGAAACAAAAGATATTTTAACTAGAGCCTGACTGATTCACTTATTTTCTAAGTGTACTTACTACATATCTTGATAGAAATTCTTTAACATAATCTGAGGAACCAAAAATGTTTATGTTGTGTGTTAAAAAAGCCGATATATTGTCAGTATGTCTCATATATTGATATTGGCCTTTAAATAGCGTTGGTAGGGCTCGAACATCAACCAAACAAATGCAATTAGCATCCCCACCCATAGTTTCCCTCTTTAGCTCTATTTATTTAGCTTTACCTCATGCGGTTCTTGTTGTTGGGCATCTCTGCTACTATCCCAGCATAGAGCCACACCAGGTTGCCGTCCTTGTACTTGGCGACTACACGAGCCCCGACATACAGGATCTCCAGGGTGGGGTTATAGTCGAAAGCCACGTGATTTCCAGACAGCAGACTCTTTCCTTTATCAAACTTCACTTTATACTTGAATATGCCGTTTCCTGAACACAGACAGAGGTTGTAAAGACAGCAGAACAGGAGAATTCAAGCATAGAACACATATAGATAATAATAATAATAATATATACAGGAAACATTTAATGTTGAATGAAGTGTTCTGGTCACACACCGACAGGGCTGATAGCAACGAGGGTGCCTCTGTGCCAGGTCTTGGTGCGTTTCTTTCCCAGAATGCTCATCCCGACTCTGAGCTCATCTTCTGTCATGTTTGGTTTCGGCTGGGTCATGGACTGAGATGGAACCTGCGATACAAACACTGCTGGTGCTGAACTCTGAATACCTGAAGGGTAGAAAGACCACAAATATGTTTAGTATGAATTATATAAATACTTTGTCACAGATACGATGCATGTAACAATTCCTGGGTAAGGATGTTAGCTCACCTGACTGGGATGGAGGGTGTGTTGGAGATCGGAGCAACGGAGCACCTGGTGAAGGTTTGCTGACCATTTGGACCAGTTTCTGCACCTGCTGGGAGGTTTTCTGCAGAGCTGCGGAGGCCTCTTTCACCTGGAAAGATAAATAAAAAAGAACATTTATCATCATTTGCATTCAATGAACGGTGTAATCTTCCTCAGTGACTCACTACTGCTCACTGACACCAACAAGGATTATTAACATGCACTATTATCATATACCTGCAACTGAAACCACTGTTTTCCATTCAAATAAATTCTGTAGTCCTACATACAGTTCACTAAGGATTGTTTTCTAACTGTATATTTCTGTGCTTCTTATGTTTCATATTTAAACTACCACTTCAAATACAAATTCTGTTCTATAAAATGTATTTCATTTGGTGCAAAATAATGGCAAAGGTCATAGGTTCCCCAAATGTGTGTCGATAAGAGGAGATCAGGTTTCTGGTTTGTGTAATGGAAATATTTTCAGAACGCTGTTCTTTCTTTTAATACTTGAACATTAGATACTGAGATGACTATACCAGCAGTGGCCCCAAACCAATCTGATTTTGAGACCCCTAATTTAACCCCCAGTATTTGTTAGTTTTACATATAATGGAAACAAAGCTTTCAAACAATTAAGATTTAAAGAAGCAAAGTCCACAAAGAGTTTTATAGAAGTACAGCAGCAATAATGCAACAGATTTAAACTCCCCTTCAGAACAGCCCACAACAAACATTTAGGTGTTAATACAAGTCAATGTAATAAGGATCCTTGTTGTTCTCACCACCGGGTCTTTGGCAGGAGTGACGGGCTTCTTTGGAGGAACCACTGAAACATTGTGAAGAACAGAAGAGGAGCAGATATTTAATAATCTGATTGTTTCCATGTCGCAGTAGCAATGAATGGTAACTGTTCTCATAAAAAAAGGCAGCGCGACTTACAACAGCCAACAGCAATGACGTCGTCGTCATCGTCATCATCTATCTCGATGACCTCAGAGGACAACACGCCTCCTCCGCAGCCTTCATCCTCTGAGCTGCTCTCACGGTAGACGAGACCGTTCCTATGGTAGGTTGCCTTCACCAGTTTCTCACACTCCAGTATGGACCTGTGGAGGAGACACAAACAAGTACTGTACAACCAGAGATCCTGTCCAGCTGATCAGTATCGCCACAAACACTAAGCAGGTTGTGTATCGGCCATGTTGTGACTGATCCCCTTAAATACAATTTCTTCACCAGTGTATAAAATTCTTTGTCTCCACTATATTCGGTCTCAGCTGGCCGCCAATTCAAGTTTCTGTTTGAGATCCATAGCAACCACTGGCCTCGTGTTACCTTCCATAAGAAATATTCAATCAGTTTTGCACAACAAGCTTTACAGATTCTCAATGTGGGCGAGAGTCCAGCTGGGGACCGTCCCCCACAGCACAGCCCGCTGTCACACATTACACCCACAACCAACCATAACTCTTGTTCTCTGTTTAGCATAAAATATGAAAAGATCACACTGTTTACAAAAGGAAATTTAAACATAATGCATAAAGTTAAAAAGGCCAGCAACACAGTCAGACCTACAAGCACAACCTGCCTCCCAACAGATCAAAACAAGCACTGCAAGTCACCATCGGCACACAGTCTATCACTGAAGCTTCACTGTTTGTAGAAATTCAGGGCATCCTTTATCCCAACAGACTGGACAGAGTTCCCGCTCTTTATAAAAAATCATTTTCCAGGAGTTTTTCTTGACAATAAATGACAGCACTTGCTCAGACACTGTCAAATAAAGTACAGCTAGGCCTACTCTTGACACATTTAACCCCAGTTTTATCACTCCATTTTAATAATGTAGGGTTCATGATGAAGTGACTCAGGTTCGTTACAGGTACAGTAGGTGTTCAATGTTTGAGGGAGACTCTACATTAGCTTGCTTTAGTAGTACAACTAAACTGACTAGAGGTTACAAGTTTTTCTCTAACTATGACATTAATTTGGCCAAAAACAGCTCAAATATTATTTTATTTTCCAGGACAACATCAATTATTTGCAGGATATTTGGTTATTTTAATCAAGTTCCAGGTGTTTGCATGACTGGAAAACGAGTCTCTACATTTATGTTTTCCAGGTTTGAACCCTGTATAGATCTCTTAAAGTACACTCAAAGTGTGTTGACTTAATTCACGATGCAGGTGTATAACAGTATTTAATAATAGTATAATAGTGTTTCCAGGTTTATCTTCACCTAACACTCTCTTTTTTTTTTTCTTTTGAATAAAGCATCATGCTACCTATGCTTAAAAAACTGTACATTGACTAAAAACAAGTCTAAATAAATACAATAAACAGACTCTGGGAAAAGGGTAATGTCTGCTTACTGGTTGGCATCGCTGAGGAGCATCTCCGTCTTCGCCTCCTCTTCTTCTTTCTGCTCCACCCATTCCTTGAGCTCCGTCAGCTGAGCCTTCTTCTTCTGTACGATCTCACTCTTCTCCACGGCTTCCTCAATCCACTTCTTCAGCTCGTCCAGAGAAATGCCCAACTCTTCCTCCAGACTGGGGTCCCAGCCATCCACCTCCATGCTTCGGAGCGAAAAACAGGACGTGTAAATATCATTTCCACATATTAACGTGTGAATATTCTGGGTCTCAATGCAGTGTTCAAAAACTAATTATGTGTTCCAGCATTACTTTTACTAACAATATTCAGATTATGTTGTTGTCGTCAATTAGCAACAGAATAAAAGGGAAAACATTAATGTATTTGATCACTTTATGGTATTTCCAAATATCCTTAAAGCAATTAGTCAGTTAATCACTTATTTGATCAAACATTGGTGAGTGTTGCTGTAAACTAAATATGTAAGAATTGAGTGTGTTGGCCAGATAACAAAATCTGTTATTAGTTCTGACTGCAACAGTGAAACACAAGTGCTTGTTCTGAACATGTTTTATATTTTCTATGTGATTTAGCCATACTGTGACAAACATAAATACTGGAATACAGCTGTATTAATACCATTATGAGGACTCCAACCATTGCTGACATATCTGCAAAGACTCATGATGAATGCATACTGATATATATATAGAAGATTATTGAATCCCTGATCATATGAGTCTGTTTCCAGTGTGCAGATAGAGGTCTACAGGGATTGTGTGTGTGTGTGTGTGTGTGTGTGTGTGTGTGTGCATCAATGCGTGCACTGCAGACTTGTGAGGTCGTCTACTGTGGAGTTTGTTGTGCAGGTTTAAAGCTTGCACACTGGACAGGGTGACACATGCATACATATACAAACTTCTTCCATTTCAGCCAGACTTTAACATGCTGCCTTTTGTTCAGTCACACAAACACACAAGAGACGCAGGGGCTGACGGTAACTGCTGTCCCCACCATAATAAACAACTGCACACTGGTACTGATGTAGCACATTAGATACATTAAATAATAACAATTATCCAGTTTACATGTAGTCTTACAGAAGCTTCCAGACCCTGAATGGGAGAGTAGTTTGCTACAGGTTAGCACAACAACAGACAGTAACAGACACCCGTTAAATTAACGTTATCTTTATAACTTCCTCTTTTAATCTGACCACTAACTCAACCGACTGTTACTTCATTCACACTTCAATCAGACACACTGAGGACAAACATGGAGGAGCTGAAAGGAGACAAACTGAAGCAGGCTAGCTCGTTAGCTTAGCATTAGCATGGGGGAATGTCTCCTCCGCTGACTGACTGATGCAGGTGTCTTGAAAACGAGCAACCCTGTGTCCTCCGGGGCTGCTCCTCAAACACACACCGGGCGGTGACTTCGTTTGGGTACATCGCTCAACACTCACTCACCCTTCGCTGCTTTCCATCCTGTCTGCTCGTAAATATAAGGGTAGCTAGCTAATGCTAGCGGCTAGCTACAACAAGGAGTGCATGCTTTGTTTCGCGGGGCACCCGAAGTGGGCGGTGTTATCGGGCGCCGTTGTGTTCTGTGAAAGACGAGAGCTCCGCCCACCCGGGTTGTGCAGGTGTTTAAAACCTTGCGCCTGAACTACAAGATGCTGTTCACACTAATTATTGTTATTTCTGGTTTAGCACATATTAACTCAGTTAAGCTCTAACTACAATATTATATGGGACTTAATTAAGATCAGCTGTGGAGATAATTAAACAATTATCCCTTTTTAAACACATTCTTTATTCTGATGGATACTGAATAGAACTCTTCCCAGTGTTGGATTTACTACTTTGAGAGTAAACTATATCTTCCAAAAGATATTAAAACACCCTGAAGTCACATATAGAAATTAGTTAATTGATGATTATGGAGTTTGTGAAAGATCTGAATAGTCAAGTAAAATATCAAGGATTAATTCATTCAAAACATTCAACTTAAAGAAACAATGGTTTTTAACAACTTTTTTAAACACTAAAAACGTAATTGGTTTTAATAGATTGATAGAAAAATAAAAAACAGACTGACTGAGAAGGACAGAAAAAGAAAAATGTATTTCAGGCAGTTCTACGACTCTCATTTCACATTATTTTTTTCCAGTACTTTTAATTGCTATTAATTAGTAGTAATCACTCATTTCAATTCACACTAAGAACTACTGCCTTAGAGGAGGGTTGCAAAAACTAATCTCTCCTGGTTCTTCTCTGGATGCTGGATGGTGCTGCCTGCTGTTAAAAGACCTACAGCTGATGAATTACCAACACATGCTTAAAGTTAAAGGTTTATTTAATTTGTTCAATAACAAGCAACTTGCATGAAAGTTTATGCAAAAGTTCCAAAACATTGTGTGACAGAATTTGGGAGAAAGAGCAGAACATCTGTTTTACATTAGAGATTCTCATCATTGAGAACTTGGAAACATCTGTGCTTTGTTACTGTGGAAAAGAGGGAATTTGCCTCTTTATCGAGCAGCTTTTCACAGCATACATTCTGGTATTATGAACAGATCACAGGTGATAAACTCAGGAGTCTGCCTCAGCCTTTCTGTTCTCCGTGGTTCAAGTCTGTGGCTGTTTGTATTAGTGTATTAATGTATATGGACCCTAGAAAGGCCTGTCTGCATGGAAACATATTCTATACATTTTAAAATAAAAAAACATAAATAAATCATGAACACATTGCACGTCGTAGCACGAGGCCCAAATGGCCAAATATCACATATCTTTTCTGATGTTTGACCACTTTGCATTCTGGGATGTGAATGAAAAAAGTTAATAATGTCTAGACATAGTTGGTCATGTCAATTCTAAATGAATATATAAACACTTTAATGAGTTTCAAACAACTACATGCTAATCACGCATAGCTTGATTTATATAAGCATAGACAGCACTATGTAAGTATATTCTGTGATCTCCATTGCATACTTACATGATTTGAAGTTGTTGGATGCTGCTCATGTTTTCGTACAAAATTCTTATATACCTAGATTGGTAGAAACTATATAAAAGTGGAAATATTGTTTAGACACAACTTCACCAGTCCGACTCGGTCATAAGAGAAGCCTAAAAACATTCTTTGGCTGGTGGCGGTTCCTTTTTTGCTTTGCTATCCCATTTGAGGATGAGTTGTCTATTACTATATGATGTGTAGGTCTGTCACTCCTCCGGTTCCTCCTCCTGGTGTGTAGTGACCGAGATAGCACTGTAAGGGTCCAGCACCAGCTGGGCGCAGCGGACTATGGCCCCCAACAAGAACAAGCAGAGCAGGGAGAAGAAGAAGAGGGCGAAGCCAAGGTCCACATCCACTTCAAACCTGGCAACAGGGGGGGCTGGGGGGTCCATGTTGACAAATCCAAACAAGAAAAGCCTATTTATTCCTCAGCTGTTGTTTACCTTCCTCTTGATAGTTTACAGGAGTAGCAGTTCCACAAATGTTTGAATTTTTCCAAAATCCAGTATATGTTTAATCTGAATTGAGTCGACCAGTTCCTCTGTTGATGCTAAAAGCCACCCATCGTTTCTATCTGAGAAACCAACTTCAACAATCCGTTCCTCTACGTCTTGGTCTCTTTTTTTTTCTCCCAACATTGACACCTACTGTCCTCCTCCCAAAGATAAGATGGATTGGTGGACACACAGAGCCCCATTTGGCACCTGTGTCCCCCATGAATAGTTAATAAAGGAGTTTGGTAACGATCAGGCCGTTCCTGAGATTAGAACACCCAGGCATTTCTCTGGTCACCTCAGGAGAAGAGACTTTTACAGGAGATGACACCTTAACAAGAGTCACTGGATCCCCGGTCAGTACGGGGCATGGACACATGACAGGCCAACAGAAAAATTTGTTTTAAAAGCTTCATAAAGCAAATGTGTGCAGACTAAGATGCTCTGCCTATACTGAACCAATCAGTTCCCTCGACACAAACCCCCCACCACACATGCACAGGGTTATTTTAAGTCTAAAAGTGGAGGAAAAGCACAGTATAGAATGCAGAAGATGCAGAAAGGAAAAAGAAAAGGTTGAAGAAGAGAAAGAGGATATGACGCCTTAGTGGCAATCCACTTGAGAGGGGTTGGAAACTGATCCTGCCCAAAAAAATGCAGATTGCTTGTACTCTGATGCCACTACAGAGATCCACGCACGTTAAGAGTAAAGTGACTCTATGCTAATAAAAGATCTGAGTAGAAACACAGGGAGGTGTGTGTGTGTGTGTGTGTTAAAAAGATACCAGCAAAACAAGATTTACAGCACAAGATGTCACTCAAGTGCAACCCAAACAGAGCATAGCTGTAAAGTTATCTTAGACCAGTACGAGCATTAATTCCATCAGTTTTCACCCCCGGGCTGAATAGAGAGGAGGGACAGATGAAGGCGGAAACTGATCCCAGGACGTACCCACAGATCTCTGCGTCTGCACAGATACACAGAATGGGGAAGGAAAACAGATACTGGCCAATCAAACCAAAGTTGGCTTTTGTTTCTTCACCAGTTAAGAAAAGGAAGTCAATACATGCATGGATGTAATTAAAGACAGCCATGACTCTTGCATGAGCGTGATCAGTAGAGTGCACCGCTACAGTAAAAACTGATACCATGAACAAGAGTGGAAATTTACCTGACTTTTTGATTAAGGATTAAATGATAGTGTTTGCGGAGGAAAGCCTGCTATGACCTGAAGTGTGAGCAGTTCAAAACACAGTCCAACCGCTTCTTGTTTGACAATATAACAATTTAATACAAAAAACAAACATTTCTTTCTCTCACTTAACATTTCATAGACATATACAGTATATTTATATATTTGTGTTTCTATGAGTGATAAAACTTCACATCATTGAAAAAAAAAAATAACCTGGATACAGAGCAAACAAAGAGGTTATCAACAATAACAAAGACAACACAATCACCAATATACCACCCTCTGGAAGATGAAAACGGGACAATTATCAGCATCGATTTACATACAATTACAGAATTCGTCATCCTGAGTGTGCAAGTGTTGCACACAGGCAATGGAGAACCATAATAAAAAGGGTCAAATTTAAACTAATTCTACATAATAAAAATTTAAATATTTTAAAAGCATTTTCATTCATCCCACAACATTCTTCTATAATACAAACTTACCAAAAAATGATTGTAAAACACAGGTGATAGGATCTGGTTGGCAAAGATTCAGTCCAAGTCCAATTGTTTGTTACAAACACAGAGGACAAAACACACACAGACAAAAACAAGGAAAAAACTTTGGGGGCGGGGATTGTCACTTATATTGTTTTTAGCTCAGTTTATTCCATTTTAATCCTGAATACCCTGATTAAACCTTTAATAACATACCAATCAGAAAAGGGCAATGGAGGGGTCAAGAGGTCAACAAAAGTTTTGAAATAATAAAATACAGGGAAACATTTTAATTAAAATCAAACATAACTATGTTTCTCCATTTTAAAAATAACAATAATCAAGAACAACATTTATGACAGCAATAACAAATGGCTTTAAAAGTACACAATTCCTGCTTGTTAATTATTGCTGTGCGATTTCTTTTTTGTATTTCTTTTACAAAAAGGAGTACAAAAAGCCCATACTGGTACAGCATAATGCAGGGCGACAGAAAGAAGAATATCAAGCAAGTCAGAAACCCCACGACTGTGTTAAAGTTGATAATGATACCGTACGCATCCATTTTACATACATACACACATGCATACTGTATATATGTATATGTAGGCAAAGAAAAATAGATACATTTCCAAAGGGCACCTAGACAAACAGTATGTAGCCATCATAACACTGTGTCTGTACATAATTCTATGAAGAAAAAAAAAAAAAAATCACATGTAGAGGAAAAACTAAATAATTCAATTTATAGGTGAGGCCACCAATGTACATAGAAAACCGTACTCAGTACTGTAGAAGAGCTCCATGAAAGCAGTGCTGACATGCAGAGACATGCTGTGGATTTAAAACTGTGAGTGAGGTTAGCACAGACTGTGGTGGTTCGCGTGCAGCAGCGGAAAATTTAAAAATCACCAAAGCTGTATATCCCTGCAATTTCCTGAGAGTTTTAATCAATGATTTGAGTTATTAGTCTACATGCTAAAAGGGTAAAACAGCAAAATACACTCTTCATCAATGCCTGAGAAAAACTAGGAACATATTAGAATAAAAGGCCTTTGTATGTGTGTGTTTACTTCCTGTATATGTTTACCAGAGTGTAAGAGAGTGTTTTTGTGCAGTGTATTCAAGTGTGGTTGTGTGATTGTGCGTTTTTATATATATTTAGATAGAGATATATAGAGATATATAGATATATATCACATATCTACAACATAGGTTGTTGAGCTTTGGGCAGTGCTAGCTAGAGAATTCTCTTACAATGGCTGGAATATTGTTAAAATAATCATCTTTTAGTCAGTAGCAATTCCTTGATTTTCCTCCCCTATATATCCACTGTCCGATATATCCCTCCATCTTTAACTGGCTTGTGGCAGTGCAACTTAAGCCATGCAAAGCAAGGGAAGAGTGCTACTCTCAGGAGCAGGAAGAGAAGAGGAGCAGAAGAGCTGAATATACAAAAGACTGAGGGCAAAAACAGTCAAGAAGACAAAGGGGGTAGACCAGCAGAGAAGTATTGACCAGGTCACTCATTAAATGGAGGGTAGATGGGAATCTCAAAGTCATCGCTGTTGAAGTTGGCAGGCTGGTCCAGCATAGACAACACATCCTGCAACAGATTAAAGAGACAACAAGATTTATTTTAAGTGACAGAGAAAGGCAGAAAAAAGGTGCTTGAGAGAGAGATAAGGCTTGTATCACTCACAGGAAACATGTCTTGCTGGTTGCCCTGAGCATGAGGATGCTGCTCTGCATTACTCTGTGAGTGCTGCTGGCCTTGCCACTGGGGCCACACTGCCTCTGCTGCCCGAGAGGGGAACTGTTGCCCAGACTGAGAGACATCTGGGGTAGAGCACAGAGGGGTGAGAGAATGCAGCGGTATAACAGAGAGACTCAGATCCACACATGTATGCACACAACTTACCATAACCATTGGTGTTGAGGTTGGCCCGCACATTAATCGGCGAGTAGTTTGCAGCGCTGGTTGGGGTGGGAGCGGCACCTGTAGGCATCTGGCCAAAAGAGTTGGAAGGGCCACCTCCAAATCCTCCCATGGGTGCAAACGAGGGAGACATAGTCTTTGCTGCCTGAGGAGCTGCCTGCTGGATAGAGGAAGAGTAACTCAATTTACTGACTAGCATATAGGTGGGGCCTATGTTATTGATTGATGTTAGTGATTTGTAAATGAAGATTGATTAAGTAATATCACCAAAGGCAAAACAAAATCAGGCAATGATGTTGTACTGGCTTACCTGGTTATTAAATTGTGGTCTAACTCCAGCTCCAGGCCATCCTCCTCCTGCTGCTGGTCCTCCGTGGAGGGGGTTTCCAGTGCTAGAGGGGGTAACTGAGTGCGGGACTCCATTCTGACGAGACATCTGAGCCAGCATCTGCCCTGCTGAGTGGCCTGGCTGTGCCATCTGTGGAGTTATCTGTGGAGTCATACTGACTGGCCTGTGGACAAATGTGAAGGGAGAGAGAAGAGACAAAGAGAGCCATTACCTGGGCTGTCATCTACTAGGAGAACATTATTAAAAAGCAAATAAAGAATCCGTATTCAAAGTCAGCGTAAAAGTGAGTATAGCTACTTGAAACATACACTAACTGCTTTCAGGAACACATTCAGACTGAACCATAATCTTTGTCAGGCAGCATCTGCGCCCACTTAAAGCACAAGTGGGAAGCTTTTGTTCTCCTATAACCTTCATGTGGACTATAGTACGTGGCAGATTCACAACTGAAAGAACTGAGAGTTTTGCCTTTGGCTGTTGTTGCACATAATCCAACATCGTACAAAAAAAAGTGACTCTGCAAGCTCTGCTTTGATAGCCAAAACATCCAGACATGCAAACCAGCTAGTAGGTTACATAAATGTGTCACAAATGCCCCTGTTGCTATTCGTATATAATCTACAGTAGATAACAACCCCATTATCTTCAGATCTCAACATTACTGATTGTGGTTGGAAAAAAATGACGTGTTATGCCAAGTTAACAATATAACCTAGTTAACTCAGATATCAAAATAACAGGATAAGAACTACAGACATGCTCCTTGTTTCTGTGCCATGTTGTTTGTATAAGTCTCTGACTAAGTGTCTGGATGAGCTCCTGGAAATTGGTAAGATCAAGTATTGCCTCCTACCTGTATGCATCATTGGGACGACCAGCAGTGAAGTTGTTGGCTTGGGGATAGATCTGCGTGGAGGGAGCGGGCGTGGAGGGCAGGACCTTGGTCTGATCTGGGCCTTGGAAAAGGGAAGGGTAGAGCTCTGGCTTCTCAAGGCTCTTGCTGTGGTCTGGCCCTGCTGCTGTCACTGGCTGCACAGGCATCTGTGGACCACCAAAAGTATAAGTCAAGGATCCCACTCCAAAACTCTTTTAGTGGTGAAGAGTCTCCAATCACGGCCATTCATCATCTCAAACTAAAAGTTAAATAGCTTGAAATTAACGATTCCTTAACGCAGCAGTACACCTGAATTTTTACTGAGGCTGTCAAACTGCTGTCAAATATGGCACCACAATCAAATGCCTGTATAGTTTCTGCAATACAATGTCCGTTAATTGAATGACATTCACAACAGATGGAGACTGCAATCATGGTAGGACTCCCAAGTTCTTCCAACACAAGAAGTAAACTAAAAATATGAAAAGCTACCAATCAAACGACAATATTGACCTACTGTATGCGTCAGTGTATTGAGAGGGAGGTGAACCTGACAGTGTGTTCAGCTGAGGCCCTACACACACCAGTGATAGTTAATTCAAGTCTAGAGTTTAAACAATTACACTAATAAAACAACATTTTATAAAACAACCAATTAAATCGAGAAAATGATTGGCAGATGAACTGACAATGACATTGTTAATCATTAACCATGAACTGCAGCCCTACTCAAGTCAATTGAATACTTTGTGGCTGTTGTTTGTTATTTAAGATATTAGTTGTTTTTCTGCAATCGGTTTAATGCTAACAAAAGTAGCCATTTCGCTAACTTGCTATTTGTAGCTAATATGTTGCTGATACAACGTTCTACGTTAGTGTACTTTTGGGCTAATTGTTAAGTAATTTACTCATTTTACTTTTAGTCTTGTAGACTTTATGTATACATTTAGTAGATTAATTACTGTGTTC